ATAGTGCACAAAAAAGATAATAGATAATGTAGTGAATATAATCAATTGATGAATTTGAATGTAAAAATTTTTACATTTGAGAAAAATAAAGACTATAACTAATGAAAATATTTCTTTTAATTAATTTATTGATAATTAATAATTTTTTTTCACTGAATAAAGACATTGTAAGGACAATGTAGCGAATATAATCAATTAATAAATTTGAATATAAAGAATTTTTATATTGAAGAAAACTAAAGACAATATAACTAATAAAATTATTTATCTTATTTAATTTATTAATAATGAATAATTTTTTTTTGAATAAAGACATTGTGGACACATAATTCTAAATTAAAGAAATGCATATGTATTATTTTTTGTTGTAAATACTAAATTATTATTTATATATAATTTAATAAGAGTAAAATAGAGTACTAATTATGCCAACTTTGATTGGGATGAGGTTCGAACCTAAGACCTTTTTTTATTGAAATCAATGAGTAAGTTAACGGTGAACTAACGGCAATTCTTAAAATTTTAACGGAATTAGTAACGGTGTGTGGGTATTTTAGAAAATTTTAATGTAAAATTTAAATTTGATCAATCTGAGCCATTCATTTGATTAAAATCTGTGACCACCATTTTTTCTACCCATTATAGGCCTAACTCTCTTGGGCTCTTATAGTAGATGTTCTACACATCTGTAATAGCATTATACTTTCAGTTAATACAATATCAGTCTCCGCGACTATATTCTTATCCGAATTTAGTGATTCGGCACACCCCCTGATTAATTAAATCCATCAGGACTAATCTAATTTTTTAATGAAAAATATTATAAAAAATTACAACTTTATCTTTTAAAATAAGTTACATAATTATTTTTGTTAATCTAGTAACCCGGATGAGTGGAATAATAACGCCCGGCTTCAACACCCTCATGATTGCTGCAAATAATACCGCAAGTTGGCCAAATGCTAAAAAAAATGTAGCACCCTTCCGGGGCCGGGAATCGAACCCGGGTCTTTCGGGTGAGAGCCGAATATCCTAACCAACTAGACTACAACGGATTAGTGACAATAACAAGCATGGTTATTATTTTAATGAGAGAGCCTGCACATGAAGACTTTGAGTAAGCTGTAAGTATCGAGTACTTCATGACATGTAAATAGGTACCATTACTCTTTAAATAGCTTTTGTTATGATATTTAGTCTTCACAAATTTTTATCTGTAAGACATATCGGGTCAAATTAATATATAAATGTAATATTTATATGCGCAAACGTCATACTTATATGCTCAAATGTAATACTAATAAGAAATAAAGTGTTTGTTACTTAAGGGAAAATGTAGTACTTATAAGGGAAAATGAAATACTTACTTATAGGGAAAATGTATTACATTTTTTAATATAATTATTATATTTTCTTATTGACCCGACCCGACCTGCATGTCTCACATATAATAATCCTTGAAAAGGTCTCACACAAGTGTAATCCTTTGCTTTATTGCAATTGTCTAACTTGAAACTTGAAATCTTATCATGTCGCATTCTTTGAAATCTACTAAGAAAAAAATTGCATATTTAATTATTTATATAAGGAGTTACAAACTCTTTTTAATGATAATTATATTATAATTGATAAATGATTAAAAGAAAAGGACTTTTAATGATATATCATTAAAACTTTTCCATTTTTCTTATTTATATTCCTTAGAAAAAATATTAATTAGATTTTTTTTTTTTTTTTTTTGCTAAAAACAAAGAGGATATCGAATATAACTATTAGGCATCAAATTGTGAAACACATCTAACATCTATACAAACTCGGTTGGCATTTGTCAAACAACTATAAAGCAGCTTACCTTAATAACATTTGCCTTTCCGCATGAACCTTTCACCCACTATTAAGTAGAAGTGAGAGTGGAATAGAGAGCTTTGTGTATGGTATATATTAATTAAAATAGGATTTGTATTTTCTTTTTCCTGTGTGTACATACAAATTTTAACCTAATGGGTACAAGAGTATCGTTAGGCACCACATGGGATAATATCATCAAACCGATTAATTAATCTCGAAACAAATTACATTCTTGATAATTGTGGGGACTTTTCAAATAATGAGAAATGAGCTCACCTTGAAAACTTATATTTATAAACCTTTCACTTGTTGTATATATAATAGGTTATTACTTTTGGAGCTGAGTAGAATCAATATACGAGATAAATGAAAGAGAGAGGGGGATAGAGAGTAACAACGTCATTGCATAAAATAAAGATATTCAAAATACATACTTCTTTCAATTTAAATATTATACTTTTCTATTTCAAATTAAATGTTAAGTAAAATTTAATCTAATTGATAACAATATCAATATAATTAATAACATACAATAGAATTCTCGGGAACATATATTTATAAGCTTATTATTTGTATAAAAATCGAAATTTATGATTCAAATCTTAACAAACAAAACAATCTCTAGCATGCTCTTTCAAACTAAATAAAGCATATGAATAATGCTACAAGTTTGCAAGTAAGAGCATCCACAATGGTTGGGGAGAATTGGGGGAGAATGTAAGAGTGATTAGGAAAGAGAATGTGGGAGGGGAGAGAAAAAAAAAAGAAAAAAATTAAAATATAAAAAAATAATGTAATCAGACGCGTTGGCGCGCCTGACGCGCTACCGGGCGCGTGCAGTGCACGCGCCCAGCCTTCCTCTTGGACTGCGCAAAACGCGCAGTCCCTGCGTTGCTTTACCTTTTTTTTTTCTTTTTTTTTTTTCTTCCATTCTCCCACCCTTTGCAGGAGAATTATTTTGGTATTATTTCCTCTCCACATTAGTTATTATTTTCAACATGAGAGAATTCAACTTACATTATCCCCATATTATGCATTGATGTGGTTGCTCTAAACAAATAGGTAACCAATTCTTCTCAGTTTACAATAAATGAAAGAGTTAATTCCACTGGAGGTCCCTTGTCTTTGGTGACAATTTCAAATTTAGTCCCAGACTATTGTTTTTGCCATTTTACATCCCAGACTATCGTTTTTTGGACATTTTTAGTCATTCTCATGATTTTTTTCTATTTTTAGTAAGGGCATTTTTATCTCTTCATATTTTTCTTTTGTTATTTTTCCGGTTTCAACCAGTTTTATTGATTTAGAACTTTAGGTAACCTCTTATTTTTAGTAACCATATTTTTCAACCAATTTTTTAGTAAAGTCCTAAACCAATTAAACTTGTTGAAACCAGAAAAATATGAAGAGGCAAAAATGCCCTTACTAAAAATAGAATAAAATCATGAGAAGGACTAAAAGTGTCCAAAAAATGATAGTCTGGGACTAAATTTGAAATTACAACCAAAGACAAGGGACCTCCGGTGAAATTAACTAAATGAAAGCTTAAGACACCTCCAACTATGCAAAATGAAGGGATAAAGAATGTGATAAAGAAGGGGAGAAAATGGGAAGGAAGGGTTGGAGGGGAGAAAGTTGGGAGGGAGAGACAACCTCCGGAGAAAGTGTCATCTCCAGAGGTTGCCTCCCCAGGTACATGGGTGACACACGAGACAAATGACACGCAAAAGATGGGGGACAACCTATCCCCTACCTTCTACTGCTTTATTACTTAAAAAAAAAAAAAAAAAAAAAAAACAATTCAATTGTTGAGGTTGATAAAGGGCACACACAATAGTTAAAATTAATTTGACAATTGTGAGTGTTTTTTTTAAATGAATAAATAAATTTTATTTAGAGACTATCCCCCAAATAAAAAAAGTTCAGAAATCATACATGAGAGTATCTTGGACAAAGTTTGGAATAAACCCAAAGCTAAAGGCAATAAATGGTGAATGCTCTTATATATATATATATATATCCTACACTTCTATCATCTCAAATATTACACTTTTATTATTTCACAAAATTGTCTACATTTATTTAAATTTAAAATCAAAATTAAAAATTATAATTATAAATGTGAAATTATTAATTATAGGAATGTGAGGGAGTAGGACTATAAAAAGGTGGGGGGAAGGGGGGGGGGGGGGGGGGGGGAATTGGAGATGAGATTATATAGTGATGAGAAAAAGTTGAGTGGGAGAATAAAAAGAGATCGAACCATTATAGATGCCTTTATAACTAGTAAAGACATAATTGAATTTCTTCATAAATCAAAACACAATGACACAATCAACTAATTAATTACTCCGTATTATATATTAAGTAATTTCATGATTGTTGGGTTTGTATGTATGAGGTTTACTTCCTAAACACTAGGGTGCTTTATTATTTTTAAAATAATCATTGCACTCTAATTTACTTGTGATCCTTAAGAAAATGTTGTTGTATCTCAACAATATTAGTTTTGAATAAATATGAGCTTATTAGCACACATGTTGATGGATAATTACCTTTCAAAAAAAAAAAAAAAACAATCTAGTGGTAATTGGATGCTTTGATGGTGATTAATTTGTAAAAGGACAAGTCAATATAGGAATTGTATCAGGTTCTATGAAAATTTATAAAAAATTGTGAAAAAAATGTTAGAGCTAGTATCATGCACAAAGTCATTAGAAATGAAATTTTCTCTTTGAGATTATCCTTCTTAAAATTTGAAATGTTATAATGTCGTTTACTTGAAATTTACTAAAAAAAAAAAAAAGAAAAAAAAAAGACAAATTTATATATGGAGTAGCAAACTCTTATTAATAATAACGGTACTATAATTGATTAAATGATTAAAAAAAGGTTTTTAATAAATAATCTAATAATTATATTTGCCCATATTAGAGAAGAAAGAAAAGAGAAATAAAATGACTAAAATATCTTTTTTATTTTACTTATATCTATTATTAATATTTTTCAATGAGTTTTAACAAGTAATTTGATCGGAATGATCAAATAAAAATTGAATGATTAAGATTCTAAATTAATAATTTAAAAAATCGTGGATTGAAATTAATCGTGGTAGGAGCGAAATCCACCCAAAATTAAACTTAAAAGTCTAGTGGATAATACTCTGCAGTTTCTTTCCTTGTTTAATTCTCCTTAGCAGTTAGCAGAGAAGTGAAAATGGCGCTAATTCTCCACCCTTCATCTTCCTCTTGTATCACCAAGAAGAACAAATATCATCCTCAACATCTTCATCTTCTTCACAGAGCTAGACCCACACATTTCTCTATCAAATCTCAAGAATCTTCTTCCACAGATGGGGTCTCCTCTTCCACAGCGGGTCCGCAGCCCAAGAACCCTGACTCCGCAGGCATGGGATTCGGGTCCTCAACCTCCACGCAACCCAGTTCTGCCCCAGTGACCTCCAAAAAGAAGAAGCAGAAGGGGAAGGGAGAGAGGGCGTCTGTTATTCGCCGAGCCCCAATTCAGAAACCCGATTTCGCTTCCCAGCAGGACGCTGTTAAGGCCGAGGAGGTCATGAGAAATGAGAGTGCTTTTCTTCTTGCTTGGTTGGGTCTCGGCGGAATAATTCTTGTAGAGGGCATTGTTCTTGCATCCTCAGGTAAATCATAAATGGATTGTTCTTTAACTTCTCTAAAGTTGTGATTTTTGTGTGGTATTTGATTTCTTTTACTGTGTTCTGCTTGAATTAGTAGTGTTTAATTTTGGCTTAGATGTCGGCTTTTAAACTTTGAGGGGCAATTGGTAAATAGTTATTAGCTGATTGGATTAGTGGATTTGACTAGTTGATAATATTAGCTGATTGTGGAAAGATGTTTGGTAAATTAGCCGTTAGATGATAGCTGATTACATACAAATGACTTTCTCAAAAAACTTAGCAAATTAATCAAGCACTCATATTGATTGTTTAATCAAGTCAAACAGCTAAGTGGTTAAACAAGCCAAAATTGGCTGATAGGCTAACTATTTTACCAAATAGGGACTTCATTGTATGGAAATGATGGAATTCAATGATATTAGGATAACAAATAGCTACTTGCTATGATTTCACATTAACATGTCCATTTTGTATTTGGATTAAAATTTATAAGGAATGATCTTAGATGGGTTAATATTATAGCATGTAATTGTCTTTCCAAGTTACTCAAACTCAATTTAATTCTCCTAGGCTATGTCTGTTGATTTAACTTCTATTGTTGTATTCTCCCATTGTTAGTATAAGGTTGTTATTATTATTATTATTATTATTATTATTATTATTATTATTATTATTATTATTATTACTTTGTATAGTTATATCTTGTGGCTTAGATAGATTGACTTAGTATATCTATTTACTAGGATTAGTTAGAGTTGGATATATTTTGTAATCCTGATGTTACGTATCAATTAACGAAAGCCTTTTCCAATCTGGTATTAGACTGGGTTTTCGATCTCTCTCAAACCTCCACCGCAATTTTTTTCCCCCTCCCTTCCCGCACTCACAATCGACCATGTCTTCACACGGTTCCGATCGCACAGCGTTCGACGGTGCGGCTCCGGCAGCTGGTGGTTCCCTCGCCGGTGCTCACCATTACGTCACCGTGAAGCTGACGTTGAAGAATTACCTCTTCTGGCGCATGCAGATCGTCTCCTTCCTCCGTGGCCAGGAGCTCCTCGGTTTCGTGGATGGAAGTCTTCTGTGTCCACTGGAGATGATCGCCGGCACTCCGGCCAACGATGACGCCTCTGAACGGTCATTTGGCAGAGACAGTGTACATGAAACAACCACCAGGGTATGAGGATCCATCAACACCAGGGCATGTTTGTCATCTACAGCGGTCTTTATATGGTCTCAAACAGGCTCCCCGGGCCTGGTTTAAGCGTCTTCACGATTTTTTGTTGTCAGCAGGTTTTAAGTCGTCAAAGACGGATGTGTCCTTGTTCTACTATACTTCAGGCATCGCTCGTGTATATCTACTTGTCTATGTCGATGATATAATTATGATGGGCAACGACGGTACACTAGTAGACACTATTCTCCAGCGGCTTGCATCTACCTTCAAGATTCGTGATCTAGGCTCACCGGGTTTTTTCTTGGGTATCGAGACCGTGTCCTCTGCTAGTGGCATGTTTTTGTCCCAGCGACGCTATATGACTGATCTATTGGGTCGTTCGGGCATGGCCGACTGCAAACCTTTTACTACACCAGCAGCCGTCACAAAAGCAACTGTACCTTCCGCTCAGCTCTTTGATAATCCTACTCAGTACCAGCGTATTGTAGGGGCCTTGCAGTACTTAACCATTACGAGACCGGATTTGGCCTATGCAGTCAACCGTCTTTGCCAGTTTATGCACTCACCCATTGATGAACATTGGGGTTTAGTGAAACGAGTTATGCGTTATGTCAAGGGTACTCTGAGTTATGGGCTACGCATCTCCCCGTCTACGTCTTCTGATATCCAGACTCTGACTGGTCTGGTTGTCCAGTAGATAGGAAAAGCACGAGTGGGTTTGCAGTCTACTTAGGTGACAATTTAATCTCCTGGCTCTCGAAGAAACAGCGCACTGTGGCTAGGTCCTCCACTGAGGCTGAATACAAGGCCTTAGCTGATGTTTCCGCTGAGGTTACTTGGGTCGTTTCGTTACTCCAAGAGCTTGGGCTACACTCTGGGAAGCCTGCAACGTTGTGGTGTGACAATCTAGGGGCTACATATTTATGTGCCAATCCGGTTTTCCATGCACGCACCAAACATGTGGAAATAGACTATCACTTTGTTCGTGACAAGGTGGCATCGGGTGACTTCCTCGTCAACTATGTTTCTACGACAGATCAGCTTGCAGATATCTTCACAAAACCGTTGCCTGCACCACGGTTTTCTGCTATGCGTGACAAGCTCAATGTTGTCGCCCTCCAACCTTGTGCTTGAGGGGGTGTGTTAGTATAAGGTTGTTATTATTATTATTATTATTACTTTGTATAGTTATATCTTGTGGCTTAGATAGATTGACTTAGTATATCTATTTACTAGGATTAGTTAGAGTTGGATATATTGTGTAATCCTGATGTTACGTATCAATTAACGAAAGCCTTTTCCAATCCCCATCTTTCCATTTTATTCGTTTCAGACATTTGATAATAAGGGCTTAACAGAAATGTTACCCTGGGTTATTGTCTTAGATTAATATAGTCAGTGCCACTCAGCTTAGTCGCCAAAAGTTGAAGGCTCAGTGCTTTGTCTTTGTTTAGAATTTCATTGATGCATCATTTTACGTTTTCTTGTTGGTTTCTAGTTTTCTTTTACGTGTGAAGCAGCCAAATTCTTTGTGATTATCATAACTTTTAGTGTACTAATGAATGACAGCATGGTAGGAGCCTAATTAAGAAAGCTAATTTGTGTTCTATTATCACTGTTGATCGGAGCTGAAACTCCTCATATTATTAATTTAAAAGCATTTCTTATGCTTTGTAACCGAATGGCAAATTGATAAGAAATTGATGGTTAACCTGTTGAAATATAAATAGTTGGCATAAACTACAACAATCAGATTTTTCAAATAGAAATTTGTGTTCTTGGTTCGTGATACCCAGATTCAATGCACACACAAATAATCCTCATACACCCTCAATTTATTTTAATCATGAATTCAACTCTATATGCACTAAACAATGTTTAATGTTAAGAAAGTAGCAAATTCACATTTATTTGAGTTAGAAATTGCTTTAGAATGGTTCCTTTGCATCCAAATATAGGCTCTTTGATAATCTTAACCTTTTTCTTTAGCCTACCATATAGGCTCATGTATGGCATCACTTTTGCAATTCAAGGATGATGTAAATGCAATGAAGTTTTATTCTCTAGCTTTCATTGTGTTTTTTGTTGCAATACTTGTAGTTTTGTTTGGGGTAACCCCGCCAAGATGGCAAGGGATCCACACTTGTAACCACAAGGTCACGAATTCGAATCTTTGCCCCCATGGTTTGAGCGGGTCAGCTATGGATAACCTAGGCTGGTTTACTTCCTTGTGGTCCTTTGCTGGCTAGCCTCACAAGGCGGGGTTTACCTACACCCAAAAGGGTTGTGGGGTTTCCCTCGTCATCTTTAAAAAAAAAAAAAAAAGATGAAGTTGTTAGAAACTAAGATTGGGCCAAGGTCACTCAACTGGGAAATTCTATGGAATTTTATTTCACAAAATAGAAAATGAATGATATGGCAGAATAGGCCTATTCTGCGAACCAAACACCACATTAGTATTTACATCCATGTTTTCTTAATTCTTAGTAATAAACACCATAGTTTTTTAACATTGAAGAACAAGAAAGTTTATATTACAATTATGGTTTATGAAGAGAGAATTAAAAATAAGTAACTAACCATCATGCCACCTTTGCAGATTATCAATCATTTAAAAACAAAGGACTTTGCAATTTAGGGAAATTCTATACTCCTATATTTAGGATAGCTCTAGGAAGACCACAATTTGCTTTCTTGTGCACTTCTCGTGCATGCATATGCCAATTTCATACTTGATACTTTAGTGTATTTTCAAGCAGATCTGAGCCTACTGGTTCAACAACACTGAATATGTTGCATCGATTTTATGTTTATGAAATAATGGTATGAAGAAATGTCGTTCAGAATTGATACATGAGAACTGTAAACCTTTAGAATTGAGCCATTGACTCATTTTGTTAACTATAAATAATGGCGTTTTGTCATTGTGTTTGCAGGGTTTCTACCAGAACAATGGGATAACTTCTTCGTGAAGTATCTTTACCCGTCTTTCACTCCTACTGTGGGTTTGTTTGTAGCCGGAACAGTTGCATATGGTGTGTTGAAGTACCTGGAGAACGAGAAATTCAGGAATGAAAAGTGATCCTTCTCTAATTTTAGCTGCGATTCCATGTAGTTTGATCTGGCTCGACTCGAAGTGCAATTACAAGATGGGAAGATAATCGTTTGTTTTTTTTATCCACAATGTCGAAGAGCCTGAAGCTAAGGTTAATGGAGGTAAAACTTTTTGTACATTTGTATTTAAGTGGCTCGATGTTTAGTTCTTGGTATACTTGAGGAATCCCAACTTGAATGCATTTGAGGGAAAATATGGCATATTGAATGGTTTGCTATCAACTTTTCCTGCAATGGTGTTCCACCTTAACTCACCCTTAGTTAATTACTGACAACCATAAATTGTGTAGCAAGAAAGATGAACTACCTCTTTACTATGATGATAAGGCTATCATTCCTTGAACTACCTCTTTACTATGATGATAAGGCTATCATTCCTTGACCTACCTTTTCTTCTCCAAAAGGTTGAATCTCCAACCCCAAAGATCCCACACCCCGGCCGGATAGAGTATTTGGGAGGATGTAAATCAGGGTGACTCAATGGCTTAGCAGACATATCAGAGCCAAATGTCAGTGCGCACAAGGAATCTGCCCACTTTGAGCATAATCCCCACACTACACAAGGAATCTACCCACTTTGAACATAATCCCCACACTGCCGCTGCCTATGTTCGAACCTTGACCTACCTCTTGCTTATAGGAATAGTTGTCATTCATTATGGTCTAACTGTTTTTTTTTTTTTTAATAATTATACGGCATCTGGTATTCTCACCATTATGAGACTAGTCTGAATTTGGTTCAAATCGTGCTGGCAGAGTTTAACTTTTACTCGGGCTTAGAGCTTTTTAACATGGTCCACTATTCACTCTCTAAACATTATGATTGCATTAGCAGTTTGCTTATCAACTACTCTAAACTGTTAGGTTTTAACTATCTTTTCATTATCAACAAATGATTTATGGACTATGGTAAATTATTTTATAAAAAAATAAAAATAAAAAAATAGTGTAGTTACTATATGGAATTGAAAAGGTATTCATTATTATTCTTTAATAGGGTGTACACAATTTGAGTAGTGATGAGAATCCAATACTGGGTGTCTTAACTGCTTCAACCTCCATTGCATTTGATTTACATCCACCCAGCAACCATGAGGGCACTGGCTGCTGTGGTACGGTGCATCACATCAAATTCATCATCCTGTACCATTACTATACGGTTTTAAACGTTTTTGAAGTAGCGTTACGGGTTCATGAACCAATGGTTAACCGGAATTTTTAATTAAAATAAATTCAAGGATTCCCAAATCAACTACTCAAGTGATAAGTCTGAAATTCTCAAAAAAAAAAAAAAAAAGTTATAAGTCTGAATACTCAAAAGCTGACATTTTTTTTTTTTAGAATAAGATTCAAATTGACCACTGAACATAACCTGAAAATGCAATTAGGCCACTGAATGAAAAAAAAATGCAATTAAGTCACTGAATACTCTAAATGTATGCAATTTCACCTGATAGCAGGTTACCTACTTACGTGATAGCTGAGTTAGCATTTTTAATAATAAATTTAAAATTATAAATTAAAAAAAAAAAAAAAAAAAAAAAAAACGCATGGTGGCTGCCGGCCACCCCGTTCCCCCACCCCCACTCTTCCTTCGTCTCCGCCGGAGACGAAGGAGGGGGGAAGGGGGTGACCGGCAGCCACCCAGTCTTTTTATTATATTTATTTATTTATTTATTTTTAAATTTATTATTAAAATTTATTATTAAATTTATTAAAAATATCAACTTAGCTGTCACGTAAGCAGATAATCTGCTACCCGGTGAAATTGCATACATTTAGAGTGTCCAGTGGTCTAATTATACGTTTTATAGTGTTCAGTGACCTAATTGCACTTTTTTCATTCAGTGGCCTAATTACATTAGTAGCCAATTTGAACCTTATTCCTTCTTCTTCTTTTTTTTAATAAATAAAAGGCTTTTAGTTAACGCCTCTCGCATGGCGCCTGACGCGGGATTCCTGCGTGGAATTAGCCTTATATTTCTGACAGAAAAAACTTCATTTGTAAGAAAAAAAACCCTTAACATCCCATCTCCACATCTATAAAAAATCATCCTTTAGTTTTTTTTTTTGGAAAGAAAGCATATTCAATTAACTGGAATCCGAAATAAGAACATCAGAAAGGAAAGGCGGAAGCGAACAAAGCCAGGCCCTACAATCAGCGTTGAGTACAGCTTCCCGAGTAACCAAGTGGGCAGCCGTATTCGCGGATTGTTTAACAAAAGAAAAGCTAATATTTCTAAACATATTAGCTATTACACGAATATCCTTTAGTTTTTTGTTTTTAAAAAAAATTACCAAAAATCTATTGATATGGATGCTCTAAGGAAGCTTGGTTTTTGTCAGCTATGTGGGCCCCACCAAGAATACAACAATTAAAGAAATCCTCGTGTGAGGCACCAATCTCGCGCCCGACCACTGCACGTGCCCAGTCGGGCGCGTGAATCCTTATTTTTTTTAACAAAAAAATTGTTTTTTTTCCATGCCTCTCATTTTTTCTTTCCTAATTACACCTGCAAAAACTCTTTAAAAACTATAACTGGCACATTTGCACATGGCAAACAAGCTAAGTAATTTTTGCCTGACCACGATATGACCCTGTTGTATTTTTGCCCGAACGACGACCTCGCGGAGTGTGTTCATAGCGATTGTATTGGGGCTCCTTATGCCTAAGGAGACTGAGTTTTGCTTTTGTCCCCCCGGGACTTCGCCCTTCCTTCTTTATAAAAACTACAAGCTAAGTAATTTTGTATTATATTATCACATTTAGTCGTAATCTTTTTTTATTTTTATTTTTTTATAATCCTTAACTTTCATTTGTTTGTCATAATTACTTATTCATTTAAATTTTTACTCCGTATCATTTAACTCTTTACTAAAAATGGTTAACGTGTAATTTCATCATTTAGTCATCTTGCCCAACATGTAATTTCTTTCTCTTGCGTAAAATCTTTTAATTGAATAATGAAATTATATGTTAGTCATCTATACTAATGATGAAATTTAAACGGATGACTATTTGTACCAAACAAATGACAGTCAATGATGTAATGAGACAAAATTAAAAAGGACTAAATGTAGTAATGTCACATTAATCGAAGACTAAATTGATCATTAAAAAAAAAAAAAGGTTTCAAAAGACTTAAAAATCTTATGCAAGTTGTATGATAAAAACCAATTGGCTAGTGGAAGCAGCTGAGTCTACTACAACCCAATACTTATGCTATGGACCGGGTCCATCTTGCAAAGTGAATCTGGATCCAAAAATACACAATTTATATATTGAATGTTCACAATTTACATACTAAATGTTCAGCATGTAAATTGTGAATATTTAGTATATAAAATTGTGAACATTCAGTATGTAAATTGTGAACATTTAGTATACAAAATTGTGAACATTTAATATGTAAACTGTGAACATTCAGTATATAAATTATGTATATTTTGACCTAGGTCCGCCTTGCAAGGTGGACCTAGGTCCACAAAATAATTGGTAATTTGCTTTATTCTTATCTCCAAAAAAGGTTGAATCCTCAACCCCAAGAGTCCCACACCTCGGCTCGACAAATTAAAGTATTTGGGAGTATCTAAATCACGGTGGCTCAATGACTCAACAGCCAAGATCAAATGCTAGTACGCACAAGGGATCTGTTTACTTTGGGCATAATCCTCTTCTCTCAAATACCGCCTACTGAACCGTTGAACTAATCCCGTGCGGGCAATTGGCCGACCTATGAGACCTTACGCACAAAAGGTGAATTCCCTCACCCCCTAAGCCCCCACTACACACTCCAACTAAAAAACTCAACAAGATAGTAGAGGGATAAATCACGGTGACTTAGCAACCCATTATGTTAGAGGATCAGTGTTTCGCAGTTGTCAGGTGTATCCTTAGTTATATAATTTATCACCTATGAATTGAACCAATTGAACTGCCTATGTGAACACCAACCTAGGAAACCTGAGAAAGCATACACAAGATCATATGTCAATTTGGAGGCAGAAGATACAATTAGCTGTTAAATAAAAAGCCCTTTCACCTTCTCAAACAAATCCTTATATATCCAAAATAATTTGTATGAGTTGAAGTTATATACTCCGTACTATCTAGTATCTACCCTCAAATAATTTGAACAAAGTATATCAAACTTGATTATGGAGCAAATGCAACACATCAAACTTCAGAACCTATCATGCATGTCACGCCAAAGTATTTCCGAAGAACATTAAAAAGGAAAAAAAACAATAAAGATCAAATAGGCTATCCAATTAAACTACACACCAAATTGTAAATCTGCAATTATGTCACTTAACTCAAAAAAAAAAAAAATTATAATTGGATTCTTCAACAACATAAATTCATGCAATTTAACCTAAAATGACTTGTTTACCTATTAATATGCAATTAGTCATAATTTAATTCAAATCATGTTAGTAGAGTTTAACTTTTACTCAGGCTTAGAGCTTTTTAACATGGTCCACTATTCACACTCTATACATTGTGGTTGCATTAGCAGTTTGCTTATCAATTATTCTAAATTGTTCGGTTTTAACTGTCTTTTCATTATCAATAAATGATTTATGGACTATAGTAAATTATTTTATAAATAAAATAAAATAAAATAAAATAGTGTAGTTACTATATGGAATTGAAAAGGTATTCATTATTCTTTAATAAGGCGTACACAATTTCAGTAATGATGAGAATCCAATACTGGGTGTCTTAACTACTTTAACCTCCATTGCATTTGATATACATCCACCCAGGTACGGTGCATCACATCAAATTCATCATGCTGCGGTTCAGTTCGGTTTACGGTTCAAAATCGGTGGTTATTGGCAACAACCATATCCTGTACCATTACTATACGGTTTTAAACGTTTTTGAAGTAACGTAAAAACCTCCTAAAATCCTATCTCCACATCTATAAAAAATCATCCTTTAGTTTTTTTGTTCTAAAAAAAATCACCAAAAATCCACTGATAACGAGGCTCTAAGGAAGCTTGATTTTTGTCAGTTGTGTGGGCCCCACCAAGAATGCAACAATTAAAGAAAGCCTCGTGTGAGGCACCAATCTCGCAAATTATATCATGCACCGCGGTGCATGATCGATCATGCACCGCGCATCAAAACGACGTCGTTTTGTTTAATGAAAAGAAATAGAATTTTCGAAAGAAATAACTCTGTTCTTCAGTTTCATTTTGTATATACTGCAGTTTCAGTTCAACACAACTACATTTTCATTTCGATATAACTACAGTTTCATTCAATATTTATACACTCAAATATGTGAAAATGTTTTTTAATTTTATTTTATATACACTATAGTTTCATTAAAACACAACTACATGATCATTTTAATATAATTACAAATTCATTGTACAATATACACTCAAATATGTGAAATGTTATTCAGTTTCATTTTATATATATTGTAGTTCCATTTCACCACAACTACAGTATCATTTTGATATAACTGCAGTTTCATTTGACAATATAAAAATAATACGTGAGACAGTGTCGGTTTAGACACACTGTAGTGTCACTCCGTTATAACTGCAGAAACGGCGTCGTTTTAACGTGCCGGTGCATAATCGATTATGCACTGCGGTGCACGATATAACGACTGCACCAATCTCGCGCCCGACTGGGCGCATAAATCCTTATTTTTTAAAAAATTGTTTTTTTTTTTAAATTTTTTTTTCCCCTTCCCTCTCATTTTCTCTTTCCTAGTCACACCTGCAAAAACTCCTTAAAAACTACAACTGGCACATTTGCACATGGCTAACAAGCTAAGTAATTTTTGCATGACCCCGAGTTGACCCTGTTGTATTTTTGCTCGAACGCCGACCTCGCGGAGTGTGTCCATAGGGATTGTATCAGGGCTCCTTATGCTCGAGGAGACTGATTTTTGTTTTTGTCTCGCAGAACTTCGTCCTTCATTCTTTGTAAAAAAAAAAAAAAAAAAAAAAAAAAAAAAAAAAAAAAAAAAAAAAAAGCTAAGTAATTTTGTATTTTATTATCACATTTAGTCATAATCTTTTATTTATTTATTTATTTTTATAATCCTTAACTTTCATTTGTTTGTCATAATTACTTATTCATTTAAATTTTTACTAAGTATCATTTAACTTTTTACTAAAAATGGTTAACCTGTAATTTCATCATTTAGTCATCTTGCCCAACATGTAATTTTTCTTTATTGCGTAAAATCTTTTAATTGAATAATGAAATTATATGTTAGTCATCTATATTAATGATGAAATGTAAATGAATGACTATTTGTGACAAATAAATGACACTCAATGAGGCAATAAGATAAAATTAAAAGAAGACAAAATATAATAACGTCACATTAATCGAGGACTAAATTAATCATTAAAAAAAGGTTTTAAAAGACTTAAAAATCTTATGCAAGTTGTATGATAAAAACCAATTGGTTAGTGGAAGCAGCCGAGCCTACTACAATCCAATAGTTATGCCATGGACTCAGGTTCATCTTGCAATGTAGATCTGAATTCAAAATATACAATTTATAGATTGAATGTTCACAATTTACATACAGAATGTTCAGTATGTAAATTGTGAACATTTAGTATATAAAATTGTGAACATTCAATATATAAATTGTGAATATTCAGTATGTAAATTGTGAACATTTAGTATATAAAATTGTGAACATTTAGTATGTAAATTGTGAACATTCAGTATATAAATTGTGTATTTTTGACCCGGATCTGCCTTGCAAGGTGGATCCAAGTCCACATAATAATTGGTATTTTGTTTTATTCTTATCTCCCAAAAATGTTGAATCCCCAACTCCAAGGGTCCCACACCCAGACCCGACAAATTAAAGTATTTGGGAGTATGTAAATCACGGTGACTCAATGGCCCAGCAGACAAGATCAAATACCGGTGCACACAAAGGATCTGCCTACTTTTGGCATAATTATCTCCTCTCAAATACTACATACTGAACCGTTGAGCTAAGCCCGTACGGACAATTGGCCGACCTATGAAACCTTGCGCACAAAATGTGAAATTCCCTCACCCATAAGGCCCCCACACTCCAACTAGAAAATGCAACAAGATATTAGAGGGATAAATCACGGTGACTTAGTGACCTATTATGTTGAAAAATTAGTGTTTCGCTGTTGCCAGACTTCAATTTTGTATCCTTATAATTTATCACCTATGAACTAACTGACTTACCTATGCGAGCACCCTAAGGAAACCTGAGAAAGCATACACAAGATCATATGTCAATATGGAGGCAGAAGATACAATTGAGCTGTTAAATAAAACGCCCTTTCACCTTCTCAAACAAATCCTTATATATCCAAAACAATTTGCATGAGTTGAAGTTATATACTATATAGTATCTACCCTCAAATAATTTGAACAAAGTATATCAAACTTGATTATGGAGCAAATGCAACAGATCGAACTTCAGAACCCATCATGCATGTCACGTCAAAGTATTTCCGAAGAACATTAAAAAAAAAAAAAAAAAAAAAAAAAAAAAAAAAAAGACTATTCAATTAAACTTCACACTAAACTGTAATTATGCCACTAAATTCAAAATAAAATTATAATTGGATCCCTCAACAATCATGCAATTTAACCTAAAATGACTTGTTTACCTTCTCTCAAAAGGTTGAATCCCCAATCCTAAGGGCTCCCAAACTCTCCGACAAAGCATTGTGGGAAGATGTAAATCACGGTGACTCAATGGTTAAGGGCCCCCAAACTCTCCGACAAAGCATTGTGGGAAGATGTAAATCACGGTGACTCAATGGTTCAGCAGACAGGGCCAAATGCCGGTCCGGTGCACTCGTTGCACACAAGGTATCTGCCCAGCCCCCGTGCGGGTAAAATGGTTCAGCAGACAGGGCCAAATACCTGTACACACAAGGTATCTGTCCACTTTGGACATAATTCCCACACTGCCGCCGCTGAGGTTCGAACCTTGGTTTCTTCTCCCAAATACTGCCAACTAAACCATTGAGTTAAGCCCATGCGGGTAATGACTTGTTTACTTGTTAATATGCTGATGTGTTAGTTTATTTATTTAAAAATAATTTTTAAAATTTTATTTAAATAATTTTTAAAATTTTATTTAAATAATTTTTTAAAAAAATAATTATTTTAAAATTAAAATTAAAATTAAAAAAAATAGCCTCTATTGCTTGCCGGAGACGAAGGGGATCCTTCATCTCCCTCACCCTTCATCTCCGGCCAGCCAACCAACCATGGAGATGAAGGTTCCCCCCCTTCATCTCCGATCCCTTTGTCTCTGGCCAGCTAGCCATGGAGACGAATGATCCCCTTCGTCTCCGGCCAGTCATGGAGATGAAGGACCGGCCATGGAGACGAAGGCGTCCCCTTCATCTCCGACCAGGTTGTTTTTTTTTTTTTTTAATGTCAAAATAATTATTTTATTTAAAATTATTAAAATCAAATTTAAAAATTTATTTTTAAATACAGTAACAGAAACGTCAGTATATTAATAGGTAAACAATTCATTTTAAGTTAAATTGTATGAATTTGTATTGTTCATTGATTTAATTATAGTTTTTTTTTTTTTTTTTAGTTCAGGTGTCTAATTGCAGTTTGGTCACTTTGGTGTGTAGTTGAATGACATATTTAACACTTATTCCAAGGAAAAGTTTGATATACTTTATTTAATAATATTCTGCATGAATCATTGGAAAATAATTGTCAAAAATATATTTATTAATATTCTACTTAATCATATATAATAGAGTATAACTTAAGTAGAGTCGTCTATGTTGTGATAAGTAATTGAAATTTATGTTGGGTACACTAAAATTATTACGACATTATTTGTTATAGAATCATATCCTATCCAAAGTCAATGATCTTGTGGTCTGATGACACCAAGTTAAGTGGAGAAAGTAGATATAAACAGATAATGTATTGTAACAGAGTCAATAATACTAAAAAAAATGCTATCCGAACAACGTACCTATCCATAATTCATGATAAATTTTATATACATCATTCAACCACATGAAACCAAATAAAGATCACATCTAACAATCAAATACTTTCTTCAAAGATAATTTAATCTTCGAAATGATGTATGTATTTACATCCATTTAGTAAAATATGTCAAGAAAAAAATTATTAGTAAACAAATTTTTTAAACAGAAATATAATAGAAAACAAAAAATTAAAAATTATAAAATATAAAATAGAGAACAATTTCCTGAAGTAGTAGACCCTTAATTTTATGTATAGTAGACTCTTCTAACTTTTTTTTTGGCAGTATATCCTCTAAAGCATAACTATCCATAAATCTTAAGTGAGTTTAAACATCAACTATTATGATTCTTACTAGGGCAAATTATTATGGGAAAAATACTATATATGTATTTTCATTTTCTACTCAACTTTTATTCTTACATACAAAATCTTGATGTAGATACTTGTATTGGGACTCACATGAAAAAAGTAACATATCAGTGTCCGCCACATCATGAAGTAAAATTTAGGAAGCATGATTTGGGAGTGTATGGAGTAGAACTCATTATTCTGTGGACTTGAGTTACTTTGCAATGTGAAACCGGGTGCAAAGATACACAATTTACTTAAATTTTTAAAAACTTCATATTTAACTTCGGTAGAGAATTGACTATGAGACTAAATACGGTAATAACGGTACAAATATATAACGAATGACTTATTTTGGTTGAATTGAAATTCGATGATTAATTATGATATTTAATTAAAGGATAAGATATTAACTCCATAAGATAGTAATGAATGAGTGGTATAAAAATGAGAAATTTAACCAGGGATAACTACCTTAACTAATTTTCCAATAACACATTTAACCGAAAACCAACAAATTCAAAAAAGAATGTGAATAGCCACCGAAATCCCAAAAATGCCCATAGGAGATGAGCAAAACATCAATTCACTGGTCTAGTGCATTAGGGCCAGTGCAGTAATTTAGCACATGGTTCCATAGCCACTGCACCAAGAACCTCCTTCTAACCCCGTTCACGTTATACGTCGCGCCGTCTTTGCCGGCCAACATTTGGCCGGTGTACGACCCCCCGCCGCCGGTGCCGTATATCCCTTCACAGAGGTCGGCGATTTCCACCGGAAAAACCGGGTCCTGCCCGGCGTACCACGCGTTCACCAACGGGTTGGTGGAGAGCTCCGCGATCTCGTGCCCGATCACGCTTATCATCCCGTCCACCCCAACGTCGCCGTTGGGGGGTTTCACGGCCGTCAAGCCCGGAATGTAATCGGGAACGGCGAACGGGTAGGCGCAGGTGCCCGGGCAGAGCTTGCCGGAGTTTCCGACCCACGCGTACGGGAGCGTGTACCCCACGATCGACGGGAACGTGAAGTAATGGAAGCCGCAGACATTGTTGCAGAAATCCTGGACGTAGACGTCGTCTGACGTCAGCAGCAGGTAAACCCCGCCCTTCGGGTTGACGGGTACGGGCCGGGTCGGGGCAGTCACGGCGGATTTAATCACGGACTGAACGCTCAATCGAGTCAGGGATTTCCCGTGAGAGCAAAACCTATCGTTCTTCTCGGCGCCGAGCCGGACAATCCGAGAAACATGGCCGCCGGTCTGATCCGTGTAGAGCCGGGCGGTTTTCCACCACGCGGCGACTGACGGCGGCGGCGCCGCGGCGGAGATGGAGCTAATGAAGTCGCGGATAATCCGCTTCTGAGCGCTCCCCCAGCGGCCGTACCAGATGGGGTAAACGGTGATGTTGGAGGTGAGAACGGGGCCCATGTGGTACTTGAGATGGATGAGGTCAGAGGAGCCCTCGTACTTCTTTGAGCCGCCCAATATCAAATCGGTGGCGTTGGGGTTTTGGTTTTGCCATGGCCGCCACCCTATTGCCGGCGACGAGCCAATGAGGAGGAGGAGGAGGAAGGTAAAAAGCGCGCGGCACCGCAGACGCATTTTTCCGGGAATGCCTAGCTAGCTAATTCGGAGCAGAGCTACTAAGCTAGTAATCTAGTATGAGAGTTAAGAGTAGGGTGAATAAGATTTTGTGTAATATTGTAATGTATATATGCTGAAGGAAAACACTATTTGTATTTTCTTATACCAAAAAAAAAAATCAATTTATTAATTTTTTATCACACCTCTGTTACCCTTCTAAATAGATGGTCACATGATGCTCACACGAGCTTTGCTCAATATTTCGGTAGACAGTATTTAAAAGAAGAGATCAATGTTTAAACTTCGGTAGCGTTAGTGTGGGAATACCCAAAGTGGACAGATCTCTTATGCGCAGCGCACCAGCATTCATCTTCCTAAATGTTCTTTTGGGTATAAAGAATGAGGAAATGATAAATATACTCCATAGAGTATAACTCCCACATATATACAAATTTTACTGACTAAAGAAAACTGTATAGATAAAAACAATGTACAATATTTCATTTTGTTTTTTAAATCAATCAAAGCATAACACCATAACTTGGAATAGAGAATGAGAATAGATATAATATTACTCTAAGTAGAAACTAATTCAAATTCAATTGGGATTATATAATCGTAAAGATTTAGTTTTACTCGAAAAAATTTGACTCAATATTCTTTAATATGTCACACTCTACACTAAAGTAAGGTGGAAGAAAATATAAAATTTGAATAGAAAATGGTAATGGAGGACAGATGATTCTTAAAAGAGTAAGGTGGGGAAATGGGGCCTACGTATGATGTGGCGGCGATGGTCTTCTGTTTGGCTCATCGCACCAATTCTCTAATTTATTATTAACTTACTCGGGGTATACACAACTCAATTAATCAATAATTCAGAATAAATTTATAAATTTTGTTTTGTTAACAATCACCTGAATAGGGGTTTGAATTTATTTTTGCCTTATTGTTAAGACGTATTAACATGTTTATTTCTTTTGTTAGGTACAATGTCATTTTTATTTATTTATGATGTTGAATTTTAATTTTTTTTTTTTCATTTTTTAAAGTGTCACTATTTATTTTCATTTTTATTGATCAAATGTAAGTTGGTCAACACTCAACCGTACCACGAGTTAATTATGTAATAATTGAATATTAAAAAATGAATTTAATACAATAATAATGATGAGATCGAAGTGATTTTTTGTAATTTTATTTTATTTGACCATTATAGTTGTTTGATTTGGTTAAAAAAATTAATATAAATGTTTGATTAATTAGCTTTTTTTAACAACTTATTGCTCCAAAATATTAAAATTCAAAAAGCTGCTCAATTTTTCAATAAACTTTTTGAGAAAATCATTTTGCATGTAATCAGCTAACAGCTAAATTACCAAACACTTTTCTACAATCAGTTAATATTATCAACTAGTCAAATTCATTTATTTAATCAGCTAACAGTATATACCAAACACCCTCATAATTTTGTTAATTATTATTATTATTATTATTATTATTATTATTGTTGTTGTTGTTGTTGTTGTTGTTGTTGTTGTTGTTATTATTATTATCAAAAGGATGGTATTTATGATATTGTATATATATATTTTTGAAATACTCATAATTGTTTACAAATTTTTTACACTGTAGTATCTATTTTATACTTTATCAATTTTATCATGTAACTATCAATTTAAAATAATAACAGAGCTGTTATCACATCATATGAAGCCGCAAACCAATAGGGTGTGGCGGAACCTCCTGTTCACGCTTTAAGCAACATGTCTAAACTTTGGACCATTTATTTTTCTATTTTGTAATATATTTTTGTCTTTTTATTTTTAATTTTCTTCAGATTCTGCTTCTGATCTTAAAATTGATGTCTTGGATTACTGAGACATAAAATGTCCCTTTCACATTGAAAGGGGACAAAAAACAAAAGGGTTGCCTATGCCTTGAATAGGCTGCTAATTTTATTGGAATAAGGTGTAGTATTTAGATCAATTGTTTGATTTGAGTTCACTTATTCAAATGCTTTTGTGATTTTATGGGCATTAGTACAACCTCAATAGTAATATTTTTTTTTAATAGTTTTTGAACGGTTAATTAGAAAAGAGAAGGGAAAGAGAAGAAGGAAAAATAAGAAAATAAAAATAAAAAACATGTCTGACAAAATAATAATAATAATAATAATAATAATAATAATAATACTTCGTAATAATAATAATAAAAAGAGCAGTTAACGTGCCAGCCAGCACGTGCGTGCACCCGGTTCGGCGCAATCAGAGCGGTTCACGCACGAAATTACATCTCTCTTCTCTACTTTCTCTCTCATGTGTGCCCTACCAAAAAAAAAAAAAAAAAAAAAAAAAACAATCTCTTGTAAGTGTTGCTATGATTTACTCAAAAATTTAGCAAAATTACTATTGTAGTTGCTCTTAGTAATAAAATGTAAAATATAAGTAATTTTTTTTGAAAATTATATGGTGCTATATTAAAAATAGGCCGAAATAATATCTGGTGGGAGTAAATCCCAATACATAGCAGCAGGTTGCTGATAAGCCGTAGTAGCTAAAGCATGAGCTAAATAATTATCTAATCTAGAAATTAAATGAAACGAACAAGACTGAAATAAAGATGCAGTCAGCCTGCAGCTGTCAATGGCATAGCCTAGGTATGTACGCAACGCAACGGTTGGTGTGGTAAGATAGCGATGTAGCATTAGACAATCCGTGTATATCTCGACAATTTGTTCTCCCCGATCCTTTAACCATGATAATGCCTCCTTGCATGCTAATGCCTCGGCCATAAGCGGCGAGGTACAATTCCGGAGTGGTCCGGCATGAGCCGAAACATAAGCTCCATTCGTGTCTACTAGAACAGCTCCACCCGCAGCTTGGCCTGTCTCTGGCAAGAATCTCGCATCGACATAACAAATTCTCTTGGGCGACCCATCGTGCTGCTCGACAGTGTGCGGCTCGGCGTGGTTCAGATCGGCATTTTCCTGCGCCAAAGGCGGCTCGGTCGGCAGTGGTGCAGCACGGGCTACGGGTGGTGGATGCGCCCGGGTCCACGACTCCTTGGCTGCAGCGGCTATCCTGAGTATGGTGATCGGTCGTGGTAACTTTGCTTCCCAAACCGCCATATTCCTTGCTCTCCATATATTGTAAAGAATTGCTGCTGCATATAATATTCCATCAGAGTCTAGAATATTTAAAAGCTCACCAAACCAAACATGAAAAATATTTGTGTCAATGTTGGGGATTGTAAGGTTGGATTGTTCCCAAGTGTTCTTAGCAAAATCACACAACACTAAGGCATGCATTGTGTGTTCTTGTAATATTCCACACATGGCACAATGTGGATCCACATCCACTCTCTTTATAAGTAGGTTGGTTGTGGTAGGCAAAATATCACTAATGGCTCTCCAGAGGAACATTTTCCATTTTGGAGGGATTTTGAGCTTCCAAAAGTTCAACCATTCTGCAAATGTCCCATTATTATTTTGATGATTTCCAACAATTCGCCTGTATCCATTCTTAACAGAGTACATTCCCCTCAGGTCTCCATGCCAGTACCAAGTGTCATCATAACCCGGGGATACAGGTATTTTCATAATATTCTCCACATCATTGGGTTGGAACAAATCTGTTAAAATTGAGGGATCCCATGTGCCCGTTTGTTGATCAATCAAACCTGCCACTCTGGCTTCCTGCAGCTGTGCTGACATTTCTGTTTGTACCATAGGGTCATGATCATCTTGTAACCAGGGGTGAGCCCATATGAGTGTAGACTCGCCATTACCAATTCTGCGCCTTACCCCACTGCAAACTATACTTTTTGCTGCCATAATACTTCGCCAACAGAAACTGAGATTATTTCCTATCTGTGCATCAAAAAAAGATCCTTTAGGAAAATATCGGGCTTTATACACACGAGCCACTATAGATTCAGGTTTAGTCAACATCCGCCATGCCTGTTTCCCCAGCATTGCTAGGTTAAACGCACGTAAATCTTTAAAACCTAATCCTCCATACTTCTTTGGGATACACAACTTATCCCAAGCCTTCCAATGTATTCGCCTGCCAGTTCCAGAATCCCACCAATATCGATTCATAGTTCTCTCTATCATGGTTGCAGTAGGCGCTGGGCGCTAGTCGGGCGCCCGGGCAGCGCCTAGCGCCTAAGCGGCCTAGTCGGCCCCTAGGCGGAATCTAGGCGGCGCTAGGCGGTCGCGAAAAAAACAGTAGCAGACTTGCAATTTGACAATTTTAATGAGGCTGTTTTCAACATTCAATCAAATAACACATCCATATAAATGACATAATGACAATTCATAAGTCATAACATCAAAAGAATATTAAAAAAAAGAACTCAAATGAAATACCCAAATACTTCAATCATCCAAAGATTGAAAGTATTAAACTAGTCTACGAGTGTATATATGTCATATTATATGTATATGTCATATAAATGGAAAAAATTAGCAAGGTCGAGTCGGTCGGATTAACTCGACTAACTCGACAGAAATTGACGAGTTAACTCGGCGTAATCGGACGAGTTAGGCGCTAGGCGGCTGAATTAGGCGCTAGGCGAGCGCCTAGGCGGCCGGTCTCCTAGGCGGGAGCCTAGGGCGGAAATCGCCGATTACTCGGTGCCTAGGCGGGATTTTTACAACCCTGCTCTCTATTGCCGTACACACAGATATAGGCAGCAAAAAAACACTCATCAAAAACGTAGGCATAGATTGTGCTACTGTTTTCAACAGTATTTCCTTCCCTGCCTGAGTCAGCAGCCTCTTGTTCCATGATCCAATCCTTTGGCGGATTTTGTCCTCAATATATGCAAAAAATGCTTTCTTGTGCCTTCCAACAAAAGAGGGGAGTCCCAAATATTTACCAAAATTCGGGGCCTGTGTCACTCCCAGAATCTCAGCCACATTTTCCCTATCAGTCATACTTGTGTTCTTACTATAACATATACTTGACTTATGATAGTTTACTGCCTGCCCTGACAGATCCTCATACACAGATAGGCATCTTTTGATTTCACTTGCTTCCTCCACATTAGCTTTAAAGAATAAGAGGCTGTCATCTGCAAAGAATAAGTGTGAAATTGGGGGAGCACCTCTGGCTACCCTGCATCCATGTAATGACCCCACAGTATGTGCCTGCTGTAATAATAGGGATAGACCTTCTGCGCAAATAATGAATAGATATGGGGACAAAGGATCCCCTTGCCTCAAACCACGTGTTGGCACAATAGGATCACATCTTGAGCCATTTACCAGAATATTGTAAGAAACTGAGGTTACACACTTCATAATTAATTCCACCCAACCACCATGAAACCCCATAGCCAGCATCATCTTTCTAAGGAAAGACCATTCCACACGATCATATGCCTTTGCCATATCCAGCTTAAGAGCACTCCATCCCCCCACTCCACACTGCTTCTTATTCAAAAAATGCCCTACCTCCGCAGCCAGTAGGATATTATCCCTTATCAATCTATCTGGGATGAAGGCACTTTGTGACTCAGAGATTATTTCTTCCATCAATGGTTTCATTCTGTTAGATAACATTTTTGCCAAGATTCTGTAGATCACATTACTGAGAGCTATAGGGCGCAGGTCTGTCACTAATTCAGGGGTGTTCTTCTTAGGGATCAAAACAATATCAGTATCAGTCAACCCAGACGGGAAATCACATGATTCAACACAATTCACAATAAAACTCGCCACATCCCCCCCAACCACATCCCAAAACTGCTGATAAAAACATGGGTTCATTCCATCCGGGCCTGGTGCCTTATCTGGGAACATTGCAAATAGTGCATCCTTAACCTCCTCCAACTCAAAGGGTCGTAACAACGACTCGTTCTGTGCCTGAGTGACACGCGGATTTACCCCCTCAAAGAAATCCTCTCCAGATCCCGGTGCTCCAGAGGAGAAAATATGGTTATAATATTGCAAGATAACATTTTTCATAGGCTCCCCCTCCACCCACTCCCCATCATCATTCATTAGTCTAGAAATAGTATTCTTCTTTTTTCGGTGAGAGGCATACCTGTGAAAAAATTTCGTATTAGCATCCGCTTCCTTGAGCCAGTGTTGCTTGGCTCTCTGTCTCCAGTAGGCATCCTCCTGGGCTTCAGTGCAACTCAGCTGTTGTTCTAGGCGTTGGAACTCAGCTAGCGAGGCCGGGTCAGTACGCCCTCTTAGTCGCTGCTGCTCTCTTGTCAGCTCTTTAATTCGTTTCCCGTACTTGTGATACCGGTCTCCACCCCATCGTGTTAACCGGTCCCCACAATACTGAATACAGCTCTGTAAGCCCTGCCCCCTTCCCTCCTGCCAGGACTGCTCAACCACCTTCCTACACCCCTCATCATGCAACCATGCCATCTCAAACCGGAAACCCCTCCTACTAGGTCCACTCCTCCCTAAGGACTCATGGATTCCCAGAAAGAGGGCCGAATGATCTGATTTCCGAGTCTTCAAATTCATCACCCTGGCTCCAGTTACCATGCTACGCCACTCATTCGTTACCAGGACTTTATCAAGCCTCTCCTCCATCCAATTCTCCGTCCCCTTCCCCTTTTCCCATGTATACGGATATCCATGCATAGGCATCTGGGCGAACCCACAGTCGTCTAGAGCTTCCCCAAAACCGCGTAGGAGGCTATTCGGATGTGGATTCCCCCCTCTCTTCTCATGCTGATATAACAAATCATTAAGATCTCCAACAACCACCCACGGGAGGTCAGATCTGGCGGATAAAGTTCTCAAGAGATCCCATGACTCAGAGCGTCTCGTTCGTTCTGAAAAACCATAATACCCCGTCATTCGCCATTCTGGATATCCAGTGATAGTTACCTCAACATCCACATAATTCGTTGAATAACTTAACAGTCGTGCCGTACTATTCCTCCTCCACAATAACGCTATACCACCGCTTAACCCATCACTATCAACATAAAACATGCCTTCGTAACCGATCTTGACACGAAGCCGTTCCGCGTGATCACGCGCCACCTTAGTCTCCATCAGAAATACAAAGTCGGGTTGCTTACGGGACACCATGTCCACAATCTCCCGAACTGTCCGTGGATTACCCAAGCCACGGCAGTTCCAACTGAGGGTACTCATTGATCCGGGCGGGTCTGGAAACCAGATCCCGCCTGCTGCAAGTTTTTTGACAATTCGGCCATAACAACATCCCCTTCAACACCCATCCTTCCTTCATCACTGATCTCTTCCCGGCGCCGCTTGGCAACCGCCACCACCTCCGCCTCCACGGCCTCAGTGGCCCGATTCCCACTGCCCGGAGGCCGCCCTTCGGACACGGCCGGAACTTGCGGCTTCCGCATGTTTGCTTGGCGTCCGATTGGCAACAACCAACTCCCGCCTACCGGCCTGGGGCCACGATTCCCCCCCGCCCGCAATTCCGGGCCATACAAGTACTCATCGACCGGCATCCTCGAATCCCTCGCCCCCCGACAAAACTGATACGAATATCCGAGTAACCCACAAAAGTAACAATATGTATGTAACCGTTCATACTTGAACGTGACCCAGCAATTCGTTTTGTCCCGTTTAATGAAGTTCATTCGTCTCTTCAAGGGTTTATCAACTGGCAACGAAACCCTAATACGGTGGAAAACCTTCCATGGCGCATTGTCATAACGATCATCACTCTTGACAAAGGTGCCCATAAAATTTCCAATCTGCTCCAGAATCCGGCTAGATGAGTATCCCTTTGGGTGCCCATGCAATTGAACCCACAAATCAACCGTATCCAAAACTACGTCCACCGGCATGACTCCGTCCGGAACCTGCTTACACACTAGCGTGCTATTATCAAAAGACCAGGGACCCTCATTCAGTACTCGTTCCATGTCAGTTACATGGTGGAAAACGAACAGGAAACGACCAGGTTCTATTTCCGTAGCCTCGACCCCGCTCACCGGTTGCCATACCAAAGCCAAGACTTGGCTCATAAATTCCAACCTGACTAACTTCCGTGTCAAGAATCTCCCCACAACACACCAACACTCCTCTTCGACGTCGGAAGGCTCGTCGCCGTCCGTCCCTTCCACCGGCCTGAACGCCGTTGCTTCCTCCTCCAACACGATATCCGCCCATCTTGCGGTAAGTCCTGCGACTTCTGGTTCCACCGTAGACGACGCCATCCCGCCTCACGCCGGCTGCTGCGCTGCACAAATCGGTAATCACCGTAGGAAACCGTCGATGGATCGACAAAAAACCTAGAGAAACCCTAGGTAGAGAGCATACTGAAGTCAATAAGTCTGTTAAAATATAAGTAATTAATATTAGATTTATGTAAAAGTAAAATAAAAAATTACAAATAATTTTAATTTTCACGTAAAAAGATTTTGATAAATCAATTATAAGTTCTCTTAAAGTTATTTGCCTCACTATGATAGATTGCTTGTTGCCAAAAAAAAAAAAAAAAAAAAAAAAAAAAAAAAAAACAATTATTGTGTTTTTTTACCATCTTTCTCTTTTCTAAGACAACTTAGCTAGAGAAGTAGTCAAGTGTGGTCCATTTTGATTTTTTCAATATATCTCTCTTTTTTATGCCTCCTTCCTCCATTTTCTATGCTTGCACCAAACATAGTTGAAAACTAGTCTAATATAGAGATGAAGCACCTCAAATCTTTTAGCCTTGGTCCACCTAAGATTGTTATGTGAACGAAATCAATATAATCGGCAAATTATACTGTGGACTGTGGTTCAGGTATCAAATATGTACTGAAGTTTTATTTCAACAGAATTATAGTATCATTTTGATATAACTACAGTTTCGATAGACAACATATACTCAAATATGTGAAATTGTTATTCAGTTTCATTTCAACACAACTACAGTTTCATTTCAATTCAATTGCAGTTTCATTTGATAATATAATAAAAATAATACGTGAGACAGTGTCAGTTTAGATACATTATAGTGTTTGTCGTTTTAGATCATAATCCATAAAGCTTTATGGACCGTGGTTCACAGTATAATTGCTGTATATAATCTTGCCCACCCTGAACTCCCGCCGTTTCAATCTCTTTAATCATGAGATATGTTTTGAGTTTAATAGCAACAAATTTAGTTTCTTTGAATTTGATTGATTGAATCTTCTTTAAAATCATACATAGAAATTAAATTTGAAACGACTATTCCTTACTTAGTTAATAAGCCAAAAACAATAATTTTCAAGGAAAAAAAAAGTTTAATTTGAAAATCGAGATTTAAAATAAGAAAATAATGACCTGAACAACAATGGTATGTAGAAAGGAAACTCGATCTCATCCCGTGAACCTACAATATATTATTATTTTTATCTTAGGAGAACTTAAATAGTGAGATTATAATTGTGATTTATGAGATTAATTTCGAATCCTAATTAGATTATGTATTATGTAACATTGAGGTTTTCTTTTAAATATTAATAGTGAAATGAGTGATTTATAATGTAATTTCTATTTGAACTATGTTTTTCTTCTAAATTTTTTATTGTGTTTTAATGAATTTTTTTTTTATCCCCTGTCAACAATATTTATGGCTCGGCCTCTAAATGTTTTCTTTTTTTTTTCGCCCCTACTGAAGAAAATTTCTGGATCCGCCCCTGCATAAATAATGCACCACAAAGTATATTTAGACAATGCACAATTATGTGTGGTGCGGTGTAGTGCATTTTTTTGGCGTATGGTGCTGTGTAGTGCATTGTTTTTGCGTGTAGTGCATTGGTGCATTTCATTATGATGCATTTTCGAACACTTTATGGTGCAATTTTAATCAAGTAATATAAGTCAAATGTAGAATAAGTATATATATATATATATATATATATATATATATATATATATATATATATATATATATATAGAGGTTTATGTGCATTTAAGTGTTTCCCGTGCGGTTGTGCGGGTGATTAATGTGCGCGAGTTTTGTATTTAATGTGCGTGAGTCTTGTGCTTAATTTGTGTGAGATTTGTGCTTAATGTGCGTGAGTTTTGTACTTAATGTGCGTGAGTCTTGTGCGTAATGTGCGTGAGTTTTGTACTTAATGTGCGTAAGTGCATGTGTACTTAATGTGAGTTATTGAAACTTTAAAGTGCATGAGTTTTATGCTTAATGTGCGTGAGTCGTGTGCTTAAGGTGCGTGAGTTTTGTACTTAATGTGCGTGAATGTGTACTTAATGTAAATTGTTTTTAAAACTTAAGGTGCGTGTGTTTTTGTGCTTAACATGTGTGAGACTTGTACTTAACATGTGTGAGGCTTGTGCTCAACATGCGTGAGGTTGTGTTCTGAATGTGTTTTGTTTGTGTGCTTAAGTGCGTGTGTTGTGTACTTTAAGTGCATCAGATTAATTTTTAACGTGCGTCCACTTAACATGTGTGAGGCTTGTGCTCAACATGCGTGAGGTTGTGTTCTGAATGTGTTTTGTTTGTGTGCTTAATGTGCGTGTGTTGTGTACTTTAAGTGCATCAGATTAATTTTTAACGTGCGTCCACCCGCACAACCTCACGGGAAGCCTCAAATGCACCTGATTCCTTCCCTATATATATATATATATATATATATATATATATATATATATATATATATATATATATATATATATATATATATATACACACACACACACACCACAAAATGACCACTATGAATTTTGCTAATATTTGCCATCATTTCTCTCTTCTCCATGCTCAACTTTTCAAACAAGTCCATATTATAACATATTGATGTTGATTAAGTCGCCTATGTCGACCAAGGCTTCATGTGTTCACATTTTAGTACTTTGACTAGATTACTTTGAGATTGTCAAGATTGAAGTCCAATAATTTAATTTCCTCCTAACTTTTTTGTTTAATTAATTAATTTATTTTATTTTCTACAGGCTTTGCTGTACTGAACTATCTAATATACATCAAGTTGTAATCAATAGGTCAATACACGACTATAATCAATTAAAATGGTAGATATAACTAATCAAAATTGAACCGATCAATTTTTGATAACTGGATGTGTATGTTATTGAAAATTTTAATTTGGATTGTGGGATAGATGACCTAATTCTGTAACATATAATCGATAACAGACCAAAAGACATTACCTAAATTTTTAGTCAATTTAGTTATCAAATACATTAGTTATTTAAAAAAAAAATTAATGAATTTAATTTACTTTTAATCATTGAGTATTTGTGATTTTATCACATTTACTCATATTCTTTTAATTTTGTTCTATTACGTTATTAGTTTTCATTTGCTTCGAGTAATTATTCCTCCACTTAAATTTCTATCATTTCACCATTTAATAAAAGAGATGATGAGAAATTATACATGGGAGCAAGATGTTTGAATGATGAAATTATATATTAGTCAATTCTTGTTAAAATTAAAGTGAAATGATAAAAAAAAATTAAATGGATTACAAACAAATAAAAGTTAATGATATAATTAATGGAACAAAATTAAAAGAGTATAATTATGGGAACGTTATGCTGTGAAATCGTGTGCACCATGCAAGGTGCACACGGTTCCAATTCATAATTTCAATCCTATAATTCATAATTTATATACTGTAAATTCATAAAATCTATACTGTAGATTCATAATTTTTAAATCGTAAATTCATAATTTAAATACAGTAGAATCATAATTTCTATAAAGTAGATTCATAATTTCTATACTGCAGATTCATAATATCTGTACTGTAAATTCATAATTTCTAAACTGTATAGTTATCAAATTATGAGCATATAGTTCTGTGATTTGTGAATACAGAGTTCAACAATTGAGAATATAAACATTGAAAATTATGAACATAGAGTTCTGTAATTGTGAATATAGAATTCAATAATTATGAATATGAAGTTCAAAAATTATGAATATATAGCTTTATAATTATGAACATATAGTTCAGTAATTATGAACATAGAACAGATGGTGCACACGGTTACACAGCATAATTTGCCACAATTATGGGGTAATGTTACAAACGATTAAAAGTGAAATTAGCTCAAAA